GGACGTGCAGACTCCCACAGTGCTGCTATACAGAGATACTAAAAGTGGGAGGCTTCAACAAACAGAACTTTATTTGCTCCCGTGTGGAGGCTGAAGACCCAAGTCAGAGTGCTGGCTCTGGAGGAAGGTTGCTCTCTCCGTTACCCCTGAGGGAAGGTCCTTGCTCCCTGCCAATCTTCCCTCATCTCTACCTGTCTCCCTGCTTCTCTAGGCCTAATCTACCCTTTAAACCTCAACACATTACCAACTAAAAACACATCTACCCAAACACCAAAAGCCAAATCCACTGCCACCGAGTCAATTCTACAGTACAGAGTTTTCCAGACGGTAAAGCTGTACCAGAGTGCACAGCCTCATCTTTCTCCCTCAGCGTGGAAGGAAGGTTCAAAGGGTGGAGCTTTCAGTTAGTAGCCCATCTGAGAAGCCATTAAACCAACAGGGCTCCTTCACCCTGTGGTGGTTACACTGAATGTCAACGTGTACCTGGATGAAAGTGCAGGTGTGGAGTCCAATATGTCTGTCCGTCAGGCCACAGCCTGATGATGCCTCCTTGGAGGTGCAGCCTCTTTAAAAGAGACACAGGGACCCTCTGTACCTCTCTCCTCTCGCTCCCCTTGGTTTGCTCCTTGCTTGGATTCTGTATCTACCTCCAGGGGCGCACCATGTGGGCTGCCAACCCTGGAAACTGTGGTCATCCTACCATGTTCCCATCAACCTTGCATCCATACCACTCTGCGCCCAGCAGCCTGTCATATTCCTTCTTCCCACTTCTGCCTTATCTGCCTGCAGTTATGAGAGTCTGAAGAGGGCTTCAGCTGGCATCAAACCTGTGGACGTGTTTGGGCTGGGATGCCTTACTGATATGACATTTTCTCTTGAATTAAAGTTCTTATACATATTTGAGTGCGTTTGGGTTGGTTTCTCTAGACAACCAAGCTTAACACAACCCTACTGTCTAAGTAGTGGCTTTGGAGGGGATCTGCTGACCTAGTTACATCAAGGCACATGGTCTGCTCAAGTTTTGACAACTGTGCTTTGAGATTCCTAAGGCACAATCTTCATGAATTTTATCAAAGAACACGAACAACCACAGGGGCTTCTTAAGAACAAGTTTTAATACAACTGAGAACTACATTGGTAAGGGCCAGGAAAGTTGTAGAGAGGATATTTTTTTCATCTTTATAACACATCTTCTTTCATTTTTAAATTTTTCTCCAGTGTCCTAAGTATGATATAAAGATATGCATGCTTAAAATATAAAAATATGTTTAAGATTTAGTATGTTTCACTCTGTAACAAAGGGAGAAACAAACATTCAAAATCAAGTTGGCCAAATTTCCAACAGATAAAATGGCTTGTCCTACAAAGAACTTTGATCATTGGCCTCAAGGCTGATAATTAGTAACCGGGAAGAACCTCTAAATACCGATGTGGGTGGCCTTGCCCAGGTCCTTCTCCCTGGGTCAGATCTCCTTGCTTTTTGGTTTGTTTGTTTGTTTTTTTCAGCCTTCTGGGCTGATCATACAGGCCCAGGGAGCACGGGGTAGGGAGGAATCAGAGAATGAGAAATGAGTAGTCAGTAGAGTGTTCTCAAAACTGTCTGAAAAGACGGCCGAAAGACCTGACTTAACCCCACATACATCAAGGCCTGATAGAGAGCAAGTGTCACAGGCACTCCTTGGCCAAAGCGCTGAGCTGGAAGAGGAGAGGTGCACTTCCACCACTTCTTTCACGCAGTCCAAAAGCAAGGGGCCTGGGCCACAGTGC